ATCAATTTTGTTAAATGTATGGTCTGTTGTCCACATACTGTGGTGCCTTGCATGTTGCTATGATGCTGGAAGCTATGCCATCAGTATTTCAAATACCAGAAGGGTCACCCATGGTTGACAAGTTTCAGCAGAGCTTCCAGACTAAGACAGACTAGGTAGAAAGGCCTGGTGATCTACCTCCAAAAATTAGCCAATAAAAACCTTATGGATCACAACAGAATATTGTCCAATATAGTGCTGAGAGATGAGCCCTCAGGATGGAAGGCACTCAAAATGCGCAGTGGCTCTAACAATGGACTCAGCATACCAATGATTGTGAAGTTGGTGCAGGATGGGGCAACGTATTGTTCTTTACATGAGTCACCATGAGTAGGAGCCAACTCAACAACTACCACTGGGGTCCTAAGTCTCAGATGCTGAAGAGGTACCCTCGCTTCCTTCAGAGATTCCTAATTAGGGCAGAATATTCTTAGGTGATGGTCTTCAATTTTTTATCTTCATTCCCCCTAAAAGTACCATGATGTAACATTCACCCTCTCACATATTAAGTTGATTCCTATAATTTCTCATATATTACTAATTTGAAAAATATGATGTTTAGCATTATGTAACTATTAATATTGATTAGTAAGACAATTATTTCACTCTTACATATGTATCCAATGACATCTAAATATAAATGGTATCTTTGATATATACCATCATCCATTGAGAAAATACATGCACAACTTTTTCTAGAACAGTCAGAAGGTTTATATTGTTTTTTTTATCCTTTAAACCTCACTTCCCATTCTACTTTCCCTATAGAATTTTATCCTAATGTAAGACTTTTTTTTACGCTCAATAGCTTCTACTGATTATTTTTATGCTTCTTTACACCAACAAAATATGTATAGCTATTGAGATTAAGATTTTATTTTTGTGACCTTCAGGCTTCATGTACTCAAAATTTTCTTCTGCAGTGAAATGTAATTTTCATTATTATTAGTATATATTTGACCAAAACATAAACTATTATAAATATTGTTTAAACATAAAAGCTAAAAATTACTGGAGACGTGCATCTTAATGAGATAGATAGAAATTTTTTCCCCAATTTGTTCATGAATCTGTGGGTGTATATGGCTTATTGTTGGAATGAGACAAGGTTCAGAGTCTATTCTATTTATTTATTTGTAGCTATAAGGACTAAGGAATCTTTTTTACACGAATAGGTGGGAATGGAAAGAGTTTGCTATAGGACTGTCGCTTCATTCTTTGAACTCTAAGATTATTTTGGCAAAAAATACATCATTTTTAACTATCAGGATCATCCTTTGAATTCTAAGATTATCTTGGCAAAAAATACATTTTGAACTATCAGATGATAACTCTATTAAGTCCTCCAATTTTGTTAAAAGCAGAATTTTTCAAACTGTCATAAAACATATGTCTCAAAAAATTAGCCTTTCAACCACTTTCAAGTGTACAATTCAGAGAGATTAAGCACATCCACCACGCGTGCAACCCTCACCGCTATCCATTTCCAAAAGGGTTTCATCACCCCAGACAGAAACCCAGCACCCCTTAAGCAATAACGCCTCATTCTCCCCTGCCCTCAGTCTTTGGTAACCACTAATAAGCTTTTGTCTCCATAAAAAGCAGCTAACTGGCAAAAGGATTTGTTAGTAATTAGAGACCAATAAGACATCAATATTTCTCGTTAGCACTAGAAGGTTTTTAGACCCTGGGGCAATGCCCTGTGTTCAGCCTGGCTGCTGAATATAGGCTTTTTGTGAAGTAGGATAAAGCAGCAGCAAAAGAGGAAGTGCCTTAGGGGAACCCCGAGAGCCTCCCTTGGCAGGCACCTTCTCAGGCACATCCATTTGCAGAAACTGTCCTTGTAGAAGATGAGGATCCGGGAGCTTATTTCCTAAAACTGCCTGTGCCCATGTACCCCTTAGAAAGTTCTTTGGGATCCCCAAATCCGCTACTTTGAAGACCATTACTCTAAGGAACAAGCCTGAGGAACCCCAACCCTTCCGCGAAAAAGTAGAGTACCTTCCAAGGAGTAAGGGGGCAGCCCTCAGCCTGAAAAGAAAAAGGGGAGTGGCTGGTCCAAATTGCTCAAAATTGTTGTTCAAATAGGGATCAATACATTTGGGGGTGGTGATTTAGGGGTGCAGATGCTGAATGCATTAGGGGACCACGAGAACGCACAGTCCTCTTTCTCCATGTTAATTGAGCTCAGACTGTCTTCTACATTACGTAGTTCCTCCCAGTTGATGCCTGGGTTTGGGAAATGCAATAAAGATAGGAAGGGTTACCTCTAGGCTAACGCTTTCCTGGTAACTCATTGACGGTTGAGGTGTGGGGAAACCCACTGTCCCAGCAATCATCAAGCGTCCTTTAACCAAATAGCATGACACTCACTATACGCCAGGCACCATACTCAGTTCTTGATCTCTTTTTAAATCTACAACAACAATCCTGTGTGGTAGGTGCTACCATTGTTATTTTACGGATAAGGAAAAACTGGAGGTTATGGAAGGTGAAGTAACCCGCCCAAGGCCACACGTGAAAACAACATTCACCCTCATGGTGTACAGTGGTTAAGAGCTCAGCTGCTAACCAACAAGTGGGCAGTTCGAAACCACGAGCTGCTCCTTGGAAACCCTATGAGACAGCTCTACTCTGTCCTATAGGGTCGCTACGAGTCGGAATCGATTTGATGGCAACAGGTTTTTTACCAGATCATAGATTCACAGTGTTGCTGCCAAGGTCAATGTTGTTTAGGGGTCAAAATTTATAGACCCTACAGAGGACATAACATATCCCAGGGGGCATAATGGGTAGGGTGGGGTGGGGGGCAGAGAAATATTGACATAGTTTAACTTGGAACAGTCAATGAAACCTGGAAAACACAAGCCAATGAACAGACCTAAATCCATTCTTTCATAGTTGTTACAGTGTCTTTCCCAAAGTGACATTTGCCTGAACATACAAGGCTATGAAGGTTCTCTTCAGATTTAGGCTCCTGGCGAGTGTTGTGGTAGAGGTACAGAGCCCGGAACCCAAAGGAATGGGGGCAGCTACTACTTAATGGGGTGCCCTTGGGCAGTCCAAAAGTCCCTGGGTGACACAAATGTTTTGCGCTAAACTACTAACCTAAAAGTTGGTGGTTCGAACCTACCTTGGGTTGCCATGGAAGAAAGGCCTGGCAATCTGCTTCCGTAAAGATTATAACTAAGAAAACCCTATGGAGCAGTTCTACTACGTTACATAGGGTCACCATGAGTCAGAATCGACTCAATGGCAACATGTTTGGTTTTTGGTTTTTTGGTTGGGCAATCCACTTCACTTCTCTGTACCTCATGCTTCACTGGCAGCAGATGGCTCTTAGATTAGAGCAATGTTTTCCAAATGTTTTAGACTATGACCCAGAGTGAGAGGAGACATTTTGTGCCAAGATCCGAACACACACACGCACACACACACACACACACACACACACACTCTTCTGGAACAAGAGTTTCAGAAAACAATCCTCAGTCTTACTATGTAATACCCTAGGCTATTTTCTGTTATAGTCAATCCTATCCTTTTCTGTTTATTTTACTGGAACGAACACCCAGCTGGTTACTGCTCACTAAATTGATTTAACTCATTACTTAATGGCAAACCATAGTTTGAAAAGTCTGAACTAGAGGAATTAACGCCCATGGAAGCAGCAGTCGAGAAATCAAACAACGTATTGCATTGGGCAGATCTGCTATAAAAGACCTGTTTAAAGTGTTAAAAATTAAAAATGCCACTTTGATTACTAAGGTGCCCTTGACTCAAGGCATAGTATTTTCAATTGCCTCATATGCATGCGAAAGCTGGACAATCAATATGGAAGACCGAAGAAGAATTGATGTCTTTGAATTATGGTGTTGGCAAAGGATATTGAACATACTATGGAATGAACAAATGAACCAGCCAGCAGAATGAACAAATCTGTCTTGGAAGAAGTACAGCCAGAATGCTCCTTAGAAGCTAGGATGGCAAGACTTGGTCTTATGTACTTTAGACATGTTATTAGGAGGGACCAGTCCCTGGAGAAGGACATCATGCTTGGTAAAGCAGAGGGTTAGCGAAAAAGAGGAAGACCCTCAGCGAGATGGATTGGCTCAATGGCTTCAACAATGGGCCCAAGTATGACAATGATTGTGAGGATGGTGCAGGACCAGCCAGTGTTTCTTTCTGTTGTGCATAGGGTCACTATGAGTCAGAGCCGACTTGACGGCACCTAACAACAACAGAGGAATTATTTCTGAAAAGGTAGCTTAATAATCAGGTCATGCTGTTCCTTGGGAAGATCGAATTAAGCAGTTTATCTCTGGCACCCTCTCACCTTGCAAGGACTCGTTTTTACTGGCTTTCTCTAGCCCATTTGATTTCTACAACCCCTATGGCTGCTTGGAGCCCTGGTGGCGTAGTGGTTAAGAGCTTGGCTGCTAACCAAAAGGTCAGCAGTTCAAATCCACCAGCTGCTCATTGGAAACCTTATGGGGCAGTTCTACTCTGTCCTATAGGGTTGCTATGAGTCAGTATCAACTCGACGGCACCTAACAACAACATGGCTGCTAACGGGAAAGTTGGAGGTTCAAGTCTGCCAGAGGCACCTTGGAAGAAAGCCCTGGTGATCTACTTCTGAAAAAGTAGCTATTGAAAACCCTGTGGAGCACGGTTCTACTCTGATATACATGGGGTCTCCACGAATTGGAATGGACTCAAGACAACTGGTACTGGTACCTCTATTCATCCTCACCTCAGCTGCTTTATACTCAGATGGAAAAAAATATTTTTGATCAAGTGTTCCTGTTTTCTGGGAGCTCGCTCTGTCTCTTTATAGCCATCCTCCTAGTTTTAGCTTTTGTGGGTTTCCCAGCTCTAGTAGGTTTCTGTCCCTTGTTGCTGATACGGGTCCCATGTTGGGGGAGATGCCGGCATGGGTTCTGGGCCCTGAAACCACTCACCTTTGACTTTCAGAGTCAGGTACTTGTAGTCCCAGGAGCTCTTGTAGACGATCAAGCAGCGGTAGTGCCCCGCATCGCTCACGTGGACTCGGGGGAAGTGGAATAAGGCCTTCCCCAGGGGAAGCTGCTCCTCCAGCAAAGTGGCTCTTTCATTGTGTGAGGATGTGTCATTTTCCATCTTTTGCAAACTAGCTGTTATTGCTCCAAGTTCAACAGGACCTCTAGTGTCAAAGTCACACTCCAGGGTCACGTTGCTGCCATGGTCTACCACGTACAGTTCCTTGGGGACAGTCACTGTGAAAAAAGCTGGAAAGGAAACAAGACATTCTGCCAATGCTTGCCTTCATACTTCAGTTCTGTCTGGAGTGGGGGCCGAGGAGACCTGTGCACCCTCGTTTTCTAAGAGATCCCTGCCATTATCTGGGCATCCCCGTGGACTGCTTTCTCTGCTTCGCACCATTGAGCCTGGACAAGGGTGGAATTCTCGATGCATTGCTCTGTGGTAGTTCTTTCCTCTAAACACTCCCCACCTGTGCAGCTGAGCGCCCTTCTGCCGCCTGCCCACCCCTGGGTGTCCCAGCAAGAGCTTCTGACTGAGCACAGCTTGCCCTCGCTAGTATCTTCCGCCTCTTTCCCTGGAGCCCTGCAGCCCTTCCAAACCATCCCTCATGTGAAAACAGACTTTCTTCTATGACTTCCCTACCATCGAGGTCTCAGCCCATTTTACTTGACTGCCTTCACATCCTGTTATTCAGGCTCATTTTTGTCAATCCATATGCACTAATTTACATCTTTCTTCACCAAATACCACCTCCTATCACTGGTGATAGTGATAATAAAGCTATCCTTTCTTGAGTTCTTACAATATGTTAGACATTCTGCTAATGCATTATCTCATTTAGTCTTCCCAGGAAACCTGCAAGGTTGGAATACTGTTACCTGCTTTTTTATAGAAAATGGAACTGAGACACAGGCAGGTTAAGCAACTTGTCCAAGATCCCACAACCAGTATCAGAGCCACATTACACAAGCCCAATGTAGAAGCTTCCTCTTTTTATCAACAAGGGAAGAGGAAGAAGAGAATATTTTGTGTGTGACTACTCTGTGTCAGGCACTGTACTGAGCCTTTCTTCCCAGTCCATCTTAGTCTGGAAGCTCCACTGAAACCTGTTCGGCATCACAGCAGCACACAGGCCTCCACTGACAGATGCGTAGAGGCTGGGCATGAGGAGCAATGACTGGGAATAGACCCCAGGTCTGTCGCATGGAAGGTGAGAATTCTACCACTGAATCAGCACTGTCTCCTCTTATTCTGTTATATAAAACAGGCAACAGGGAAGAGAAATGAGGCGTGCAAAGAAGGTTAGTTGCTGAGTCTGAGACGCTACAAGAATTAGGTAGAAGACTTTGGGTCTAGACGCTAGTGAATCTGCTTAGCAATTTATCGACCACACTTACGCTTTCTTCTCACGAGAATAGGAACCCCTGTAACTTCCTCTGGAACTCCCCACAGCATACAGCAGAACTCCCCTTTTCTACTGCCTGGACCTTTGACAAAAATCCATTTTCTGCCTTCTTGTCCACTCTTGCTTTTGCACTTTGTAGGCATGTAGTACGCGACCTCTTGACAGGTGATATTAGTCACCACGTGTAAAAGCCAGAGGCCGGCTAATGTCCACAGAAGGGCAATTAGCAAAACCATGAATCGTGTATCTGAGTAGCTCAGAATAACTAAGAAGATTAACTATTATTTGGTCTAATTTTGCCTCAGTTACATCTGCTAGAACCGCAGTATACCCTTTGAGCTTGATTCTCCCATATAAAATGAGGGGTTTAGGAAACGCAATACACTTCTGAAATCCTAAAACTCTTACTTGTTGTAAATTACCAAGGAAATCAGAAGACTTTTCTCAAACAATCAGTTTTGCCAATAGGTTGTTCTCAACCGTGGATGCACATTAGAATCACTAGGCAGAGCTGCTCAGTCTTGACCACACTGGAATCACCTGTTGTTGGTGAAGAAGTCCAGCCAGAATGCTTATTAGAAGCAAGGATGGTGAGACTTCGTCTCACATACTTTGGACATGTTACCATGAAGGATCAGTCCCTGGAAAGGACATCATGCTAGGTAAAGTAGAAAGTCAGCGAAAAAGAGGAAGACCATCAATGAGATGGACTGACAGAGTGGCTGCAACAATGGGCTCAAGCATGACAACAATTGTGAGGATGACACAGAACTGGACAGTGTTTTGTTCTGCTGTCTATAGGATCACTATTAGTTGGAACCGACTCGACAGCACCTAACAACAACAACAATTGTAGGTATTAGTTGCCACTGAGTCGATTCTGACTCCTGGCGACCCCACGTGTGCAGAGTAGAACTGTGCTTCATACAAGGCTGTGACCTTTTGAAAGCAGATCACCAGGACTGTCTTCCAAGGCACCTCTGGGTGAGTTCGAACTGCCAACCTTTTGGCTAGTAGTTGAGAACTTAACCATTTTTTTTAAACGTGGGAGGCTTTAAAAAAAAATACTAGTGCCCAGGCCCCACTTTGTATCCTTCAAAATCAAATTATTTGGGAGAGGGCTAGCATCAATATATTTTAAGTTCTTTGGGAGCTTCTAACGTGCAAACAGTATTGAGAACCATTGGTTAAACGAAACAATTCACTTGCTAGTAGTACATCTTTTACTATCTTTCCATTCAAAGTGTAGACCTCAGCTTCACCTGGGAGCTAGTTAGAAATGCAGAATCATACGCCTCACCCCGGAACTAGTGGATCAGAACCTGCGTTTTAATAAGGTCGGGGTGATTGACGTGCGCATTAACATCTGAGGAGCAGATAACACAGGTCTGCTTTTAGACCATTATTGGAAAGTAGAGTAATAGTGGAGCCCTGTTGGCGCAGTGGTTAAAGCACTTGCCTGCTAACCAAAAGTTCGTGGTAAGAAACCCAGCTGCTCCGCAGGAGAAACACGTGGTAGTCTGCTTCCATATAGCTTTACAGCCTTGGAAACTCTATGGGGCAGTTCTACTCTGTCCTGTAGAGTTGCTTTGAGTCAGAATCGATGGCGGTGGTTTGGTTTTGGTTTAGAGTAATAGTTAACATTTATTAAGTACTTACAATGAGCCAGACACTCAAAAACCCTTATATACATCATCTCATTTGATGCTCCCAACAATCCTGCAAGGTAGGAGTTATAACTGCATTTTACAGTTGAGGAAAAAAGCCCCCAAAACCCACTGCCATTGAGTTGATTCCGACTCATAGGACAGAGTAGAACTGCCCCATAAGGTTTCCAAGGCTGTAATCTTTATGGAAGCAGACTGCCACATCTTTCTCCAGGGAAGTGGCTGGTGGGTTCGAACCGCTGACCTTTTGGTTGGCAGCTGAACACTCTTAACCACTTTACCACCAGGGCTCCTTACAGATGAGAAAACTGAGGCTTAAAGAAGTGACATAACTCCCCAAGTTCAAAGAGTGATTACTTGGGGGTTTGGAATTCAAATTCATCTCTCTGTATCTTCAAAGCCTGTACTGTTAACGACTCGGTGTGTGTATACTATACCCACGAATGAGATGGATACCCTTTTTAGCTTCATGCTAAGGGAAAGACATTGCTTTGTGTTCCATTTCATGTGCTACATGGTTATTAAACTAAGGTTCAACCTAGCATTGAACTCTTGAAGTTATGAGACAAAAGGAGAAAGTAGAAAGTTTTCATGATTACCAAGTTTAGACAGGTTTTCCTATTCAGCTGGGGCCCTTAATTGAAGGGGCAAAGAACTTGGTCAAAGCAGGAAGAATCCACAGGTGCTGGTCCTTTGACCAGATAAGAGCAGCCAACCCAAGAATGTGGAGCCTTTCCGAGTGCTCCTGGGGAACTTTGCATTTGATTTGTAGCCAGGCATCACTGAGAGGCAGCACCTGCCACCTCTCCAGGAAATGCAACACAAATCATTTGCATTCGCTCCCAAGATAGCTTCCTCTTAAAGCTAATTTTATAATTTTTTAACAACAGAAGCATAAGTTTTTTTCAGACTTCCTACCTAAGGTACTTAAAAGATGGGGGCAAGGCGGTGGGGGGTGGGGGGCGGGAGCGGTGTTTCACACAGCCACGTCCTTCAGAAAACGTTGACATCTTAGTTTAGGGCAGAATTCCACTCTCTTTGTAGGAACACTCACTACTTGGACACGTCTCTTCTTTTAAAAATCCTTGCCCTAACCTAATCCTTCTGCTTTGTATACCTCAGGGGTCGGCAGAAGTAGCTTTGGAGACTAAAGATAGGCAGAGTGAGTGACCCAAGGTGTGGTCCCCAACTCAGAATGACTTCGTGTCGCCATGGCCAGGCACCTCCCCCTCTTCCCAGTTTTCTTCCATCTCTGGAGGATGAAGAGGCAAAGATACATCAATAAAAGAAGGAAGATTGGGGCTGCTCTTTCCTCCAAGACATGAGAAGATGCAAAAATGAGTTTGTCCCCTTAAATGTATCTGGGCTACAACATGTCCTTAAACCAAAAAAAACCCCGTTGTGGTCAAGTCGATTCTGACTCATAGCAACCCTATAGGACAGAGCTGAACTGCCCCATAGGGTTTCTAAGGAGAGGCTGGTGGAGTCGAACTGCCGACATTTTGGTTACCAGATGAGCTCTTAACCACTGTGCCACCAGGGCTCCCAAGATGTCCTTAGGTTTTGAAATAAGAGAAGAAAAAAAAAAAAAAAAAAAGAACTATAAAGCTACCATAATCAAGACAATGTGATATTGATGAAAGGATATACATATAGAGTTCAGATACAGACCCGCAGAAATAGTGGCAGTTGATTTTTGACAAAGAGGCAAAGGCAATTCAATAGAGAAAGCAGAGTCTTTTCAGCTAATGAGACTGGAGCAACTGGACATTCTATGCCAAAAAATAAATCAATAAATAAGTAACCATTGACTTATACCTCACGTCTTATACAAAAATTAACTCAATAAACAGCATAACCTAAATGTAAAATGTATAACTGGAAAATGTTTAGAAGAAAATGTAGGAGAAAATCTTTGAGACTTTGGATTAGGAAAAGAGGTCTTAGATAAGATGTCAAAAGCACAGTCCATAAAAGAAAAAACCGATCAATTGGACTTTATCAAAATTAGAATTTTGGCTCTGCAAAAGACACTATTAAGACAATGAAAAGACAAGCCATAGACTGAGAAAATACCCGCAAATCACATATCTGATAAAGAATTTGTATCTGGAATATTTAAAGCACCCTTAACATTTAACAATAAGAAAACAAACAACCCAATAAAAAAATGATCAAATGATTTGAATACACACGTCACCAAAGAAGATATATGAATGGCAAGTAAACCAAAAGCCCATTGCTGTGGAGTAGATCCCAACTCATGGCAACCCAATGTGTGACAGAGTAAAACTGCTCCATAGGGTTTTCTTGGATGTAATCTTTACAAAAGCAAATTGCCAGCCCTTTCTTCCACAGCACTGCTGGGTGAGTTCGCACTGCCAACCTTTAGGTTAGTAGTTGAGAGCAAACTGTTTGCACCATCCAGGGACCTTGTTGTTGTTAGGTGTCATTGAGTTGGTTCTAACTTACAGCGACCCTATGTACAACAGAACAAAACACTGCCAGGTCCTGCGCCATCCTCACAATCTTTGCTATGCTTGAGCCCATCATTGCAGCCACTTTGTTAATCCATCTCATCGAGCGCCTTCCTCTCTTTTGCTGACCATCTACTTTACCATGCATGACATCCTTCTCCAGGGACTGATCCCTCCTGATAACATGTCCGAAGTACGTGAAACGAAGTCTCGCCATCCTCTCTTCTAAGGAGCATTCTGGCTGTACTTCTTCCAAGACAGATTTCTTCTTTCTTCTGGCAGTCTATGGTATATTCAATATTCTTTGCCAGCACCATAATTCAAAAGCATCAATTCTTCTTCAGTCTTCCTTATTCATTGTCCAGCTTTCGCATGCATATGAGGCAACTGAAAATACCATCGCTTGGAAAATACCAGGCGCACCTTAGTCCTCAAAGTGACATCTTTGCTTTTTAACACTTTAAACAGATCTTTTACAGCAGATTTGCCCAATGCAATACATCGTTTAATTGATTGTGGACCCAAGTAAACTGAAATCCTTGACACCTTCAATCTTTTCTCCGTTTATCATGATGTTCCTTGTTGGTCCAATTGTGAGGATGTTTATTTTGTTTATGTTTTGAGGTGTAATCCATACTGAAGACTATCGTCTTTGATCTTCATCAGTTAGTGCTTCAAGTCCTCCTTGTCTTCAGCAAGCAAGGTTGTGTCATCTGCATATCGCAGATTGTTAATGAGTCTTCCTCCAATCCTGATGCCTCGTTCTTCTTCATATAATCCAGCTTCTCGAATTATTTGCTTAGCATATAGGTTAAGTAAGTATGGTGAAAGGATATGACCGTGATGCACACCTTTCCTGCTTCTAAACCACGCAGCATCCCCTTATTGTGTTCAAACAACTGCCTCTTGGTCTATGTACAGGTTCCTCATGAGCACAATTAAGTGTTCTGGAATTCCCATTCTTCACAATGTTATACATAATTTGTTATGATCCATACAATCGAATGCCTTTGTACAGTCAATAAACACAGGTAAACTTCTTCCTGGTATTCTCTGCTTTCAGCCAGCGTTCATCTGACATCAGCAATGATATCCTTTGTTCCATATCTTTTTCTGAATCCAGCTTGAATTTCTGGCCATTTCCTATCAAAGTACTGCTGCAACGACTTTTGAATTATCTTCAGTAAAATTTTACTTGCGTGTGGTATTAATGATATTGTTTGATAATTTCTGCATTCTGTTGGATCACCTTTCTTTTGAATGGGCACAAATACGGATTGCTTCCAGTTGGTTGGCCAGGTAGCTGTCTTCCAAATTCTTGCATAGATGAATATGCACCTCCAGTGCTGCATCCATTTGTTGAAACATCTCAGTTGGTATTCTGTCAATTCCTGAAGCCTTGTTTTTTGTCAGTGCCTTCAATGCAGCTTGGACTTCTTCGTTCAGTACCATCGGTTCTTGATCATATGGTACCTCCTGAAATGGTTGAACATCGACCAATTCTTTTTGGTACGGTGACTCTGTGTATTCCTTCCATCTTCTTTTGATTCTTCCTGCATTGTTCAATACAATATTTTGCCTGTAGAATCCTTCAATATTGCAACTCGAGGCTTGAATTTTTTCTTCAGTTCTTTCATCTTGAGAAATGCCAAGCCATATATTCAAATGACCGAAAAAATATCAACAACAAGTGCTGGCAAAAATGTGGAGAAATTTTAACTCTCAGACATTGCTGGCTGGAATGCAAAAACAGTACAGCCACTCTGGCAAAGTTTAGCAGTTTCCTATAAAGGTAAACATATACTTACTATATGACCCAGCAATTCCACTCCCAGATATTTACCCAAATGAAATAAAAACCTATGTTCACACAAAAACCTATATGCAAATTTTATAGCAGCTTTATTTGTAATAGCCAAAAACTAGAAACAATCCAAATGTCCCTCAGCTGGGGAATGAATAAACAAAATGTGGTACATCCATACAATGGACTACTACTCAGCAACAAAAGAGAGTGAGTTACTGATACATACAACAATAGAGATGAATCTCAAATGTATTATGCTAAGTGAAAGAAGCTGGACGAAAAACAGTATGTAATGAATGATCCTGTTTATATGACATCCTGGAAAAGTTATAACTATAAGGTCAGAGAATAGATCAGTGGGTGCCAGGGCTTAGGAGTCCCTGAGTGGTGCAACTGGTTAAACTCTGGACTGCTAGCTGAAAGTTTGGTTGTTCGAACCCACCCAGAGGCATCTTGGAAGACAGGCCTGGTGAACTGCTTCCGAAAGGTCACAGTCTTGAAAACCATATGGAGCACACATAGAGTTGCCATGGCAACTAACAACCCCCAAGCCAGGGCTTAAGAATGAGGGGAGGGTTTGCCTATAAAGCATGAGGAACTGGAGCCAACAGGATATTGGGGTCTTTCCCAACTAGGGCCCTGTCCTTATGTCTCTAGACCCAGATCAGGCTGGTCAGCCCAAGGGAGAAAGAGGAATGTGACTGGGAAAATAGCAGGTTGGCACTACCTGGAAGGGAGGACAAGGCTCTCAAAAGGTTGTCAGTGCCAAAAAAGCTGTTATTTCTCAATGAAAGGCAAATGTTAAAGGATTTCCCATGGGGCTGGGGCTGCTATCACCAAGGACCTAATCCTCTGTCCCCACCTCTGTCTTCCTCTCTTACCTCCTGGGGTTCACCCAAAATGATGTACTCGTGGTCCTGACTGCTTGCTCAAATGATCTGAACTACCTTCCCTAGGAGACCAACAGACTCTGGAACTGCTTCCTTCCTGCCCACCCACACCCTCCAGTAGAACTCCTTTCTTCAACATCCAAACACATAGCCCAAGGTTTGTTATTCATGTAGACCTTAGGGAGAATCAGATTTTTCAATTCAAGTAATCCACATTAAGGTGCAAATGTCCAATAGACTGCTACCATTGCTTTTTAAAAGAGAAACTCAAAGGAATATGCCAGTAATTGGCAGAATATCTGCAACAAGTGTTAGAGTGAAGGCATCTGCCAGGTATCCCCCTGACCATAGTCTCCTCACTCTCCATGCCAGAAGGGCAGACATCTCTCCTTTATGTGAAATCAGCCCTCTAGACTCAGTTCAGATGCACGTGGTCAGAGGGAGCCTGTATCCTTATCACTACCTTCATTGGATAGTTGGGGTGGATGAGTGAACATTCTTAGTCGTTGGCATGCACAAGCCACCCTGAGCACCGTTCTTTCTGCTGGGTTTCTAACAGCCCAGTGATCACTCTTCCTCTCAAAGAAAGCCCTCCCCGTTGGCTTCAGCCAGGGGCCACCCCAGCTTCTCTTCCTCAGCCCCACTCCCTTTGTTCTTCCTTACCTGCTGTCTGCCAAAGCTGCATCCCCAGACTCAACAATAGCAGGAGAAGGAACATGTTCTGTACCGGATCTGAAACAGAAAATTGAAAGTCTCAGGGCCTTCTGCAGCCTTGCTGGGTCTCATGATTTGGTGATTTGCTCACTGCTGAAAACTGGGAAATGACTGGTAAACAAATCTCTTGCAGGAAGCGGAGGATGGTGTTGGTGGAGAGGAGCTGGGAAGAGACACCGAGGGTTCATTGCCTGGAGGAGAGGAGAGAAAGGGTAAGAGGAAGTGACTCGCTCTTTATCAGTCTAAATTAGAAGCGCTTCCTCCTTTTCTAACAGTCTTCTCTGATTATGAACCAGTCCTCATGAGTCACCTACACTGGCAGTTATCTATGCCTCTTTATCTATCCCATGAAGCTTTCTGTAATTCTTCTGATCTTCTTTGTCAAATGAATAGTGCACACCATCTTCTCCAGCTGAACTGGAACTCCAGAGGTCAGACACTCTGGGATAGTGCTCAGGAGGACATAGATTCTCCATAAATACTTGACAGTTGACTGAGCAGGCAAGAAAGTTGAGTTTTCTTGAGTGTGGTGTTTGAGACTGCCCACGAACTACCTGTTACTAAGAGGTTTAGAAAGGAAGAGCAGGAAACTGGCTCCGTAGGGTGGTGCCCAGCTTTGGTCCTGTTCTACCTCCTGGTCCTCCTTCCATTATTCCCAGCCTTTCTCCCACCCAAGGACTTCTTATAGTTGAAAGCGAAAGGCTCAGGATATACCACTGTCAGCTATTCTGTCCTCAAAGAGGCTTTCATACTTTTATTAGCTATGGAACAATTTCTTCAAGGGAAACCTCCGTACAGTTAAATAGTAAAAGCAGAGATGCTCTGGGTGTAATGGAAAGTGTTGGGGGATTTTGATCAGATCAACATGATCTCATTACATTTTTAAAAAGGACTCAACTGCAGTGTAGACAATAGATTATTGTTGGGAGGGAAAGTCGGTTGGGCAAGAGCAGAAGCAGAAAGATCAGTTAGGAGGCTAATGCCTTTGCAGATATGAGGATAGTTTCTGTTACGATGATGGATGACAGGGGTGAGAAGTGGTCTGTTGAGGATTATATATATTCTTCTCCTTTACCTTTTAATTTAGTTTTGATTTTTGAGCAGCTTTCTTGAGGTATAATTGACATAAAATAGTTACTGTTGTTGTTCGGTGCCCTCAAGTTGATTCCAACTCATAGTGACCCTATGTAAAACAGAATGAAACACTGTCCGGTCCTGCACCATCCTCACAGTCCTTGCAGTGCTTGAGCCCATTACTGCAGCCACTGTGTCCATCCATCTCGTTGAGGGTCTTCCTCTCAGCAGTTCGAATCGACCAGCCACTTCTTGGAAACCCTGTGGGAAGTTCTACTCTGTCCTATGGGTTGATATGAGTCAGAATCAATTTGATGGCAATGGGTTTGTTTTCTTTTCCTTTAGGTTTACTTTACCAAGTATGATGTCCTTCTCCAGAAACTGGTCCCTCCTGATGACATGTCCAAAGTACATAAGACAAAGTCTTGCCATCCTTGCTTCTAAGGAGCATTCTGGCTGTACTTTTTCCAAGACAGATTTGTTCTTCCTTCTGGCAGTCCATGGTATATTCAGTATTCTTCGCCAAAACCGTAACTCAAAGGTATCAATTCTTCCGTCTTCCTCATTCATTGTCCAGTTTTCACATGCATATGAGGTGATTGAAAGTACCATGGCTTGGGTGAGGTGCACTTTGGTCCTCAAGGTGACATCCTTGCTTTTTAACACTTTAGAGAAATCTTTTGCAGCAGATTTGCCCAGCACAAAACGTCGCTTAATTTCTTGACTGCTGCTTCCATGGTCTTTGATTGTGGACCCAAGTAAAATGAAATCCTTGATAACTTCAATCTTTTCTCCGTTTATCATGATGTTGCTTATTGGTCCAGTTGTGAGGGATTTTCTTTTCTTTATGTTGAGGTGTAACCCATACTGAAGGCAGTAGTCTTTGATCTTCATCCGTAAGCACTTCAAGTCCTCTTTGCTTTCAGAAAACAAGGTTGTGTCGTGTGCATATCACAGGTTGTTAATGAGTCTTCCTCCAATCCTGATGCCACCTTCTTTTTCATATAGTCCGGCTTCTTGAATTACTTGCTCAGCATACAGATCGAATAAGTATGGTGAAAGGATACAACCCTGACTCACACCTTTCCTGATTTTCAGCCAGGCAGTATCCCCTTGTTCTTCTTGAACAACTGCTTCTTGGTTTATGTACAGGTTCCTCATAAGCACAATTACGTGTACTGAAATTTCCATTCTTTGAAATGCTATCCATAATTTGTTATGATCCACACAATTGAATGCCTTTGCATAGTCAATAAAACACAGGTAAACTTTTTTCTGGTATTCTCTGCTTTCAGGCAAGAGCCATCTGACATCAGCAATGATATACCTTGTTCCATGTCCTCTTCTGAATCTGGCTTGAATCTCTGGCAATTCCCTGTCCATGTATTGCTGCAACTCTTTTTGAATTATCTTCAGCAAAATTATACTTGTGTGTGATATTAATGGCATTGTTTGATAATTTCAGCTTTCTGTTTTATCACCTTTCTTTGGAATAGGACAAATATGGATCACTTCCAGTTGGTTGGCCAGGTAGCTGTCTTTCAAATTTCTTGGCGTAGACAAGTGGGCACCTCCAACACTGCATCCGTTTGATGAAACATCTCAATTGGTATTCCATCAATTCTTAGAGCTTTGTTTTTTGCCAATAACTTCAGTGCAGCTTGGATTTCTTTCTTCAACACTATCAGTTCTTGATCACATGATACCTCTTGAAATGGTTGCACATCGACCAATTCTTTTTGGTACAGTGAGTTTGTGTATTCCTTCCATCTTCTTTTGATGCTTCCTGCATTGTTTAATATTTTCTGCATAGAATCCTTCAATACTGCAACTCAAGGCTTGAATTTTTTCTTCTGTTCTTTCAGCTTGAGAAATGCTGAGACTGTTCTTCCCTTTTGGTTTTCTAACTCCAGGTCTTTGCACTTGTCATTATAATACTTTGCCTTCTCAAGCTGCCCTTTGAAATCTTTTGTTCAGCTCTTTTACTTCAACATTTCTTCCATTTGCTTTAGCTATTCTACCTTCAAAAGCAAGTTTCAGAGTCTCTTCTGACATCTATTTTGGTATTTTCTTTCTTTCCTGTCTTTATAATGACCTTTGCTTTCTTCATGTATGATGTTCTTGATGTCATCCCACAGCTCGTCTGGTCTTCAGTCATTAGTGTTCAGTGTAAAATCTGTTCTTGAGATGGTCTCCAAATTCAGGTGGGATACATTCAAGGTCATATTTTGGCTCTCGTGAACTTTTAAAATTTTTCTTCAGCTTCAAATTGAATTTGCATATGAGCAATTGATGTTTTCTGCAGTCGACTCCTAGCCTTGTTCTGACTGATGATATTGAGCTTTTCCATTGTCTCTTTTCACAGATGTAGTCGATTTGATTCCTTCTTATTCCATCCGGTGATGTCCATGAGTATAGTTGCCATTTATGTTATTGAAAAAAAGTATTTCTAATGAATAAGCCATTGGTCTTGCAAATTTCTACCATGCAATCTCCTTCATCGTTTCTATCACCAATGCCATATTTTCTAACTACCAATCCTTCTTCTTTGTTTCCAACTTTCTCATTCCAATTTTCAGTGCATCTTGATGGCATGTTTGATCAATTTCAGACTGCAGAAATTGATAAAAATCTTCAATTTCCACCACTTGTCTGTCAGTTTTTGGTACTGTGGTAGCTTGGTTGTTGCTGTGAGGCTGGAAACTATGCCACTGGTATTTCAAATACCAGCAGGGTAACCCACGATGGACAGGTTTCAGCAGAGCTTCCAGACTAATACAGACTAGGAAGAAGGACCTGATGATCTATTTCTGAAAAATTGGCCAGTGAAACCCTTATGAATTGCAGTGGAACGTTGCCTGATATAGTGCCAGAAGATGAACCCTCTTGGAAGGCACTTAAAATATGACTGCGGAAGAGCTGCCTCCTCAAAGTAGAGTTAACCTTAATGAAATGGATGGAGTAAAGCTTTGTGACCTTCATTTGCTGCTGTGGGACTACTCAAAAGGAGAACAAATAGCTGCAAACATCTATTAATAATTGGAACATGGAAGGTACAAAGTATGAATCTAGGAAAAGTGGAAGTCTTCAAAAATGAAATGGAATGAATAAAGATGGATATCCTAAGCATTAGTGAGTTGAAATGGACTGATATTGGCCATTTTGAATCAGACAATCATATGGTCTACTATGCAGGATGTCTTTGTTATCTAGTGCTGGTATAATAGAAATACCACAAGTGGATGGCTTTAAAGAAGAGAAATTTATTTTCACATAATCTAGGAGGCTAGCAGTCTGAATTCAGGGTGCCAACTTCAGGGAAGTCTTTCTCTCTCTGTCGACTCTAGGGGAAAGTCCTTGTCGTCAATCTTTCCCTGGTCTAGGAGCTTCTCAGTGCAGGGACTCCAGGTCCAAAGGATGTGCTCTGCTTCTGGCTCTTCTTGCTTGGTGGTATGAGGCCTGCCTTCTCTCTGCTCACTTCTCTCTCTTATATATGTCAAATGAGATTGACTCAAGATACAACCTAATCTTGTAAATTGAATCCTGCCTCATTAACATAACTGCCTCTAATCCTGCCCCATTAACATCGTAGGGGTAGGATTTACAACACAAAGGAAAGTCCAATCAGATGACAAAATGGTGGACAATCACACAATACTGGGACTCATGGCCTAGCCAAGTTGACACACATTTTGGGGGGACACAATTCAATCCATAACATTCTACCCTTTGGCCCCAAAATCCATGTCCTTGACACATGTAAAACACCTTCACCCCATAGAAGTCTTTAAATCAACTCCAAGTCCAAAATACAAAAATTTCTCTTCATCTGTGAGATCCAGAATACAAGTTATCTGCTTCCAGAGTACAATGGTGGAACAGACAATGACCTAGACAAGTTGACACACATTTTTGGGGGACACAATTCAACCCGTAACAACAGGAATGACAAACTGAAGAGGAATAGCATAGCATTTGTTATCAAAAAGAACATTTCAAGATCTATCCTGAAGTACAACGCTGTCAGTGATAGGACAATATCCATATGCCTCCAAGGAAAACCAGTTAATACGACTATTACTCAAATTTACACAACAACCACTAGTGACATACAATAGAAGGATATATTAAAAAAAAA